CGCCAACTTCAATCGACAATGTCTCATGGCCATGTTGAGGACCTTTAGAACAGATTTCACGCACGTTGGCTATTGCAAATTCTGTGAAAGCATTTTTTACGAGAATGGCCTGGTCAACCCATTCTTTCGAAACCCGTTAGAAATATTTCTACTGGATTGGTAAATGTAAGAAAGTTGAACTCATTACTTTTAGAGATAATATTTCAAAGAGAAATATCAAAAGACTCAGTTGCTGCCATTTGTTGCATTAAAATGCAAAAAACTTACATCATGACTCTTGAACTCGCATTCTGATATAATGGTGATTGTACTGGATTTGAACTCTCGCCACACAGCGGATGGGAATGGAATCCCGTGCTGGAAATGGATCGCTCCTACGCGACGAATCCGCATCACGATATACTGAAATAGTATTCGTTGTAACTGGAAAGAGTACCTCTGTATTACTACATTCCATAGGGCATTAACGCCATGCTCGATCAAAACAAAAAGATGGCCTAAATCCGTCGCATGCTACATAGCCCCTGACGACGATTTCATCCCAGACCTTTGTTGTCTCCCAGCCTGTAGGGCTCTCTCATTTGGCCGATGATTGGTATGGAACCAAATGTATCGGTGAACCACCATGGAAAGGTCCAAATTCTACCTCAAACAACCTCAACAGATTTACTTCTTTGAGGAGTTTTGTTACTACGGTGATGACCATGCTTGCCTTGGCACCTAGTTTTCTCCGTTACTATCGGGACTATGACAAGGTGTGAACCAGCCCCTGAAGCATAATCCTTGCCATATTTCGTGGAAGGTTTTTTGGCTCCTTCGTTTAGCGGATTTTCCAGGGGTTCCCATTTGTCACCTAGGTAACTCTTACAGTTTATATCGTTTTGTTTACTTTCCAAAAACCCTATCATCCCATCGAGGCGCACGAAGGTTCAGATTTTGAGACAGAGGTTTTTTGGTAAGATCTCCGTAGGAATGCTCACCTAATGTTGGCATTCAAAGTGGATCTGTTCTACATACATCTTTTGTGAGACAGATTATTTTCAATACTAGTTTATTTAATTTAACAGTTCACGAGGTTGAGGATAACTTCGTCGGCTAGCGTCACGGCGATATCGCCTTCTTAGGGGCCTGAAAACGTAAATTGGTTTCCACCTTTTTAGGCTCTAGAGAAGCCAATATCGCCGAAACGTCAGCGAAGTTATTTTCAACCTCATGAACTGCTAAATTAGAGATTTTATATTGGAAACATACCAAACAGAGTCGAACGTGGGAACAGAATATTTTGGTCTGTTCATTTGCTCATTATTTCGTGATTATCATTTCATTTACTCAATTCATATTTCGTATTATTTCAGATAGGTAGCCTTGATAATCTGGGTATTTCAAAAGTCCATGTACTCATAATTCATTTTTGTTTATTTAATATCAATTTATTTATTTATTTCACACAGTCGCTAGGTGCTCCTCCACGTGTGCAATACTTGGCAACAAATAATCACCCCACGTCCCGATACACAGTGAGATTTTGAAGGTAATGAGAAGAGGAATCAGCGACGTACGCTGAGCTCCAGGAACTGTAGTGATAGCCAGCAAATGGAGGGAGCCCTGACAAGAGGTTATTATACTGTGATCATGGTGTTCTAACATTGGAGGGTATAGGACCCATCTGGAATTTCAGTAAACGGGTACATATGCCAACTTCCCTCGGAACCGATTTGCCCTTCCCTGAAAAACTTCACATATCTCGAGAAGAAGCGGAGTCGTCGTTACCTACTAAAGTTATCACCATACATAGCAGTAACGTGCATGTTTACGAGGTGAATCAGTCCCTTACCTCTTCAGGTTTGCCATCCTTCATTATTTTGATGAGTTCACCCATGAAGGAGGTGATTCGTTGGGCTACTTCAACGTACCTTAACAAACTTGTAATTTACTAGACACATTGGAAAAGAAAACTTCTATCGAACGAGGCTGGACAGATCGCTTTGGACGTGGGAGGCGAGTCTATCCAAGAAATTGTGTAAGTCGATGCGAGAAATAACTTACTTTGAATTGGTGAGCAGATCAAAGCTTTTTGCATTCCCGTTGGTGAGCAGGGAGAGCATTTCGGCTTCCATCTGAAAAGCATTTCGAAATTGTCTTCTCATCCTCTCAGTACTGAGGTATAAACCACTTGGGGGACTGAGCCCATACCTGGCCGACTTTGTCGTTGGCATAAAGCACGAGATTAGGTGCTCTGAACACAGCGAACAAGGTGGGTTGACGTCGTAGAATGGAATAAAGTATCCTCAATCCGGGATTGTTATCATTGAGAAGCATCGCCTGTTGCCATGTTGATGACAGTATACTGAGTCGATCTCCAAGAAGCTGCCTAAATTGGATAGAACTTAGGGCTTGGAAAAGGGAATGGCAGGATTGATCTCGAGAATAGGCTTTGAGTATTCCAAAAAGATTCCCCATTGCGAAAGCCAGGTAAATGATTCGACCAATCCTGTTCCCTTCTATGAATTCTACTGATTTATGGCTTCTATCATCCTATGAATTACTCCACGCTTCAACCTCTGAATGACTATCCTTTAAAGACTTCAACAGGATAGAAAGATTCCTGACCCTGCATCGCAGACTGTCTTCTTTCGCCTCATCGTCTTCCGTTCGACGAGTCGATTGTTCAGCCATGTACTAGCTTTCAAGAATACCAAGCTGTTAGTGGCCGAATTCAGAATTACAAGGAAATTTGAAATATCCACCAAATAATAGTTGTAGTCACCGACGGTTACTTCGACCAGATCAAGCTGAAAAGATAGATTAGGTTCATCCATTCATAACGATGTACATATACAAAAATGTTTTCCGGAAGAATCCCAGGGAGCGTTCGTCCTGGGACTCCCCAGGAAAACACCGTCTACCTTCTTGCTGTTAGATTAGTGTAAGCAAGGATAGACTCACCACAAAAGTGAGACTTCTGAAGCATAAAAACTTGGACACTAGCATAATAGAAATAAGCGTTTGTAGAATTTCTCTGAAAAGTCGTTTTAGAGGAATTGGGGGTTGAAAAATTTTTTGGAAAGTAGGAAAGGCCGAAAAAAGCAAAAAATCAAAAGTGATCTTACCTAGAGGCGTTACGGTCGAGAAAGTGATCGCTCATTTGGAACATTTGCCGCCGTGTTCGATTTGAGCCGCGAAGCATAAACACCGTGAGCAAGGTCAGAACTGCAAATCAGAGGCTGATTCTTTTAGTCGAGAAGATACGAAGTACAAAATCCAACAGGGCCCGAATGGCTAGTTGATAAATATCCAAGGGGAGTTCGAGCGTCAGTGGGAGTAGAGCTCGGTGGGCTTTTGTGTAAAGGAAGGCATAATCTAGAGGAATGCTGTGAGGGTTTCGGAATCAGGGCAAAACATTGGCTTGAAATCATGAATTTTACTTTTTTGAGTGGTTCAAGGAACTTCTGGTCGTTTCAAAAAGCTTCTGGATGAATTCAACCAAGATAGGATGGTTATGGTTACTAAAGCTTACTGAGAATGCCTAAATTTGGACCGATCGAGACGGCAATCATTCGTGAGATCAGGCGGTATAACGCATAAGCGCTTTGCAAACGTAAGGCGGTAGGACGCACCTGAAAAAAAA